CTGCCCTTTGTTTTTGTTTTTGTTTAAGATTTTATTTATTTGAGGGCGCCTGGGTGGCTCAGTCGTTAAGCGTCTGCCTTCGGCTCGTGTCATGATCCCAGGGTCCTGGGATCGAGTCCCGCATTGGGCTCCCTCTCCATAGAAAGCCTGCTTCTCCCTCTCCCACTCCCCCTGCTTGTGTTCCCTCTCTCACTGTGTCTTTCTCTCTGTCAAATAAATAAATAAAATCTTAAAAAATAAAAGATTTTATTTATTTGAGAGAGAGAGAGAGAACATGAGTGGGGGGAGGGGCAGAGGGAGAAGCTGACTTCCCACTGAGCAGGGAGCCCGACCAGGGAGCCTGACAGAGGGCACAGGGCTCGATCCCAAGACCCCCAGGATAATGACCTGAGTCGAAGATGGGTGCTTACACACCTGAGCCACCCAGGTGCCCCCCCGGGTGGTTTTCTTTAGCCTTGGGACCATAGTTCTTATGGAGATATCACTTCAGTTTACACCTATACGCTCATAGTTGCCGTGCCTCTGCTTTACTCCACAGGTGGTTCAGAATCTGGGGAGCCTTATGTTCCAGGTGTCTTCTTCAGACAGTTTCTACCTGTATCACCCAAGGCAAGTGACGATGTTCAGAGTGTGTTAAATGTGGAATTTGGCAGATGGAAAACCGTGGCTTCAGCTTTGCAACCCAGCCTTGAGTGTTAGAAGATAAAAGAGAACAGAAGAAATATAAGGGGATAGAACTTTGTTATACTCTTGGAAGGGAGACCGGGGGGTAATGTCAGGTCTGTCACGTTCCTTGTCCTGGTTCTCAGGTACAGTTCGATGTGGTGGTATCAGCCTTCTCCCTAAGTGAGCTTCCCAGCAAGGCTGACCGCACTGAGCTAGTTCAGACCTTGTGGCGCAAGACGAGTCATTTTCTGGTGAGTTGAAATCTCTTTTTCCCTTCCAGTTTTAAAGCAGTGTCATGGGTTTCGTGCATTTCCTTCTCTCCGTTGGAACTTGTGTTCATTCTTGACTATTTTTCTCATGTATAGATCCCTTTGTCCCTCTTTTAGGCTCTTCATTGCCATCTTATATGGGGATGGCCCTTTCCTTTAGGGACCTCTACTCCATCTGTGAATGTTCTTACAGAGCTGCTAGCATTTATGTTTTCGTGTAATTCAGGGCTTATGCTTATTTTCCTTTTTTGTGAACAGATATTGGTAGAGAATGGAACAAAAGCTGGACACTGCCTTCTCATGGATGCCAGGGACCTGGTCCTTAAGGTAAGATTCTTTTCTCTTTCTTTCACCCCTGCCCCACCATCTGTCACCAGTCACTGCTACTCCCTTAAGAACTGAAGAGACTCTGTCATACAATGGTAGGGGTGACTCTCAGGATATTAGGCATATAAAGTCGTTATGATATAGGGTAGTGATTAGCAAACTAGGACCTGTGGATCAAATTTGGCCTGCCACCTGTTTTTATATGTGCCATGCTTATTGGTGTGCCTCTTGTCTATGGCTGCTTTTTTTTTTTTAAGATTTTATTTATTTATTTGTCAGAGAGAGAGTGAGCACAAGCAGGAGGAGCTGCAGGCAGAGGGAGAAGCAAGCTTCCTGCTGAGCAAGGATTGTGATGCCGTGCTCGATCCCAGGACCCTGGGATCATGACCTGAGCCAAAGGCAGATGCTCAACCGACTGAGCCACCCAGGCGCCCTGTCTGTGGCTGCTTTCATACTGTAAATAGCAGAGTTGAATAGTTGGGACAGAAACAGATTTTGCCTACTCTCTGGGCCTTTAAAAAAGAAAAAGTGCACCAATCCCTGATCCAGGGCATTGCTAAGCCAAGAACCTTATCTTTTGGGGACAGTATGAGCCAGTGTATAATCATAAATGTAATTGTCCTGGAGTGGGATCTTTTTGAGAGTAGAGGTTGCTGACAAGGGAGAGCACCATACTATGTGCCAAGTTCCTGCTTTTCTCCTACTGCAGAGAGAAAGTTCTTTGTTTGGAGTATTAGAGAAGCAGCCAGCTTAACTCAAGGAGCCTAGTTAATAATTATCAGAATTGAATGTTAAAGGAGTCCTCAATTTACTGAGTGCAGAGATTGAGTTCTGAGAATAGACCCCTCAGACCCAGCTTAATTTTTTTGGTTTCAGGGAAAAGAGAAGTCACCTTCGGACCCTCGACCTGGCTTTGTCTTTGCCCCAGTGAGTGTCACTTCTACCTTTCCCAGCGGGCAAAGATGTGAACTCAGCTGTGGCCAGGAGAAGTGAGAGGGCAAAGCTAAGCCACCCTCTACTATTTTGTGTCCCCATCCAATTTCTTTCTCAGTTGTTCCCCTGGCTCTCCCTACCTCCGGCTCCTATGCTCCCATTGCCTAGCCCTTAACTCTGTCACTCTTTGTTTTTCAGTTGTCTGATTCTGTGGTTCTTTTGTCTTGTGTGTTCACAGTGTCCACATGAACTTCCTTGTCCCCAGTTGACAGCCTCTAAGCCCCTGGCCTGTAGCTTTTCTCAGGCTTACCACTGCATCCCCTTCAGCTGGGTATGTATCCTGAGAATGTTATGGCAGGGAGAAAACAGCCTAGGGGAACAGGATGATGGAGAGTCAGAGGTGGGAAGAGTTGGAGAAGTCAGAGAAGAGTCTGGAGGTTTGCGGGCCTGAGTGTGCATGGCTTATAGAATATGAAAAGGGCTGCAGGGATGGGGGTCACAAGTTTTTTTCCCATCTCTTTTTTCTCCAAATAGTCTCTATATTCTTATCTTAGAACAAGAAGAAGCAAAAAGAGGAAAAGTTCTCGATGGTAATTCTTGCCCGGGGGTCTCCAGAGGAAGCTAATCGCTGGCCCCGTATCACTCAGCCTGTCCTTAAACGGCCACGCCATGTGCATTGTCACCTGTGCTGTCCAGATGGGCATATGCAGCATGCTGTGATCACAGCCCGCCAGCATGGCAGGTATAAAGGGTGTGACCAAAATTAGGGAGAGATGGCAAGAACCTGCAGCCCATGTTGACCTCTGTTTTCCATAGGGATTTGTATCGCTGTGCTCGTGTCAGCTCCTGGGGAGACCTTTTACCTGTGATCACGCCTTCCGAGTCCGAGCTTCCTCTGTCCCCTCCTGAAGACCCCCTGGGAGTTGACAAGGAGGCGTAACAAGTATTTTCTTATTTAGGCCTGCCAAGGCTGAAGCTCCCTGGTATCCAGGGTGGGAGTGCTGGTAGGCCTATGTATCTGTTTGTTTGAGGCTTTAATAATAATAAAAAGTTTTCAAAGAATTAAGTGGATCTTTTGATTCTTAAAAGGTACAGAGGTCAGTTGTCATGTTCAATCCTGTAGCAGAGAGAATCCTCAGATATTCAGTGCCTGTCTTCCCGCAGAGATCTCAAGCTCACCTTCTCCTATAAGAGTACTGCTGCTTCTACCAGAGACCAGGACTTCCGAGGGAAGTAATCCGGGCCAGTAGGGAAAGCTGCTCCCAGTCTCTGAGCACACTGGCTCAGCAGGTGTCACGGTTGTTAGGTGGGCCACCTAAATGGGGGAGCCAGGCTGCCTAGCCTCTGTGTTTTTCTCCCTCCTTTTCTTCTGTCTTTCTCAGGGTTCATCAGCTCCCCCGGAGTTCGCCTGATACACATTTTCCTCAAGACCCGATCCCCCTCAAGACTGAATTTTTCCATCTCCGCCCCTGTAGATCCAGGCAGGATCCTTCAGTTTGCTTGGTTCGTTTCTCAGTTTTTCCCTAGGCCTCGCTGTTTCAGAGCTAAAGAACCTTTCTTTGTCTTAAAATTCTCAGGCCCTCGCCCCCAGTACACACAGTCCTGACTTACCGTGGCTTGATTTTCAAATTTTCAACTTTAAGATGATGTGAAAGTGAGGCACGTTGAGTAGAAGCCAGACTTTGAGTTTTGAATTTGGATCTTTTCTCCGGTCAGCGGTATGTTGCATGATAGTCTCTCGTGATGCTGGGCAGCCGCAGCTCCCAGACAATCACAGCATCATGAGGGTAAACGGCTGGTACACTTACAACCATTCTGGTTTTCACTTCCAGGACAGTATGTGGTAAATTACATGAGACTTCAACACTTAATTATAAAATAGACTTAGGTTAGATGATTTTGCGCAACCGTGGGCCAGTGTAAGTGTTCTGAGCACGTTTAAAGCTAGTCAAAGCTGGGATTGGTAGCTTAGGTGTATTAAATGGCATTTCAACCTAGGAGGTTTTCAGTTTAGGATGGGTCCATTGGGACATCACCCCATCATAGTTGAGGAAGATCTGTATATATCCAGAAACAGGCACAGTCAAAAAATGGGAACAGCATCAATATTGTAATACTAGAAATCTCAGCTCCCCACTAGAAATTGCCATGCCTGGAGCTATTTCTCTAGAGTTACAGGAGAAGGGAGGCCCCTCATCTCCTGGTTTCCCCAGAGTGCCAGGTGGCAGCACCACCTCTCAGCCCCACCTCCTACCCGAAGGGGGCCCCAAATCCCCTCTGAAAAGGTAGGGTTCAGATATCAGCATAACAACCTGTGGAGTGGGGTGGAGAAGGTATGGGAACCATAGATCAAATGTCTTGAATAAGGCAGGACCAAGTGTCCCCAGTACAAAAGAGCTGGGGAAGACCTACCGTAGACTCCCCCATTTTGGATTAGACCAGCGCCAGGCATGAACGAAGACTGTCCACAGCATTTGGATTAGTCATGGCAGTGAAGAGAAGACACATAGCACAGGCTGTGCCTGGCGGGGAGTCTGGAGTTTCTGGTTTCCCAGTTCTGGAAGGCGTGAGCCAGGGGAGGGGCCTCCTCGTCGGGGGAGGGCGGGAATCGGGGGCAGGGCCCCAGTCAGCTATGCAAGGCTGTGCAAGCAGAGGCAACACAGAACAGAAGGAGGATCCCAACGGCCTCCTGGAACTCAGGAGAGTAGATAGTCGAGCTTTGACCACCTACTTCCACACTCCTGCTCCAAAGACCCTAACTCCCTTTTCCTATTCTGAGGCATCTGCTTATCCTGTACCCCAAGGATGGAATCACTACTAGGAGTGAAAATTGGCTGCCTCTTTGCCCTGCTGGTTCTCACCCTGGTCTGTGGCCTTATTCCCATCTGCTTCAAGTGGTTCCAGATCGATGCCGCCACAGGTACAGCCCTGCCGCCTCCGGCCCCATAACCTCAGCCTGGCTACGTACGGCCCTATCACCTATCCCGACGCCTTGCTCCGAGGCTCTCACTGTCCCCAAGCTGGGGACATTGGGGGCTACCTGTTTGCTCTTTTGTCACCTTTTCTATCTCATTGCCAACTGGACTGTAACTCCTCCTTTTTTTTTAGGTCGTCACCGCCGGGTCCTCAGCCTCCTGGGCTGCACCTCTGCTGGTGTTTTCCTGGGAGCAGGGCTCATGCACATGACCGCTGAGGCCCTGGAGGGAATTGACTCAGAGATCCAGAAGTTTAAGATGCAGGTGAGCAGCAGAAATGGTGGGCGGCAGGGCTGTGAGGCCAGAATGATGAGGGGGACCATGGCAGGGCCGAGGACACGGCTGGGGGGCCAGGGAGAGGACAGCTCTTTCGGGACACGGTGAACACCGGTCACCTCGGACTTGAAGGAAATCAACGGAGCTGAAGGGGCAGGACAGGAAGCTGAGCTGCTCCATCCCCCGCCTGATTCCCGCTTTTCTCTCCCTAGAACAGGACAGAAAGGGAGGGAGATGCTTCTGATGATGCTGATTCAGCTCAGGTAAGTACCTCCCGCCAGTCCCTCCCCGGAGGGGGAGGGGAACCGGAGACCCCTTTCGCTGCCAGACCCTGTTGAGGGGAGTATGTGAGGGAGGAAACCAGGGATCCCCTCTGCTCCTCAGCTCCGACAGCACCGAGGAAGGGAGGAGCCCACCCCATCCTCCTGGGTCTGTGGAACCCCAGAAAAAGCTCTGCTTTACTCTCCACTCTTTCTCTGGCCCTTTGGCAGGCCCCACATTCTTTTCCCATATTTCTAACCCTGTCACTCTGGTGTCCCTTAGTCCCTCAGGGATTCTTCCTGTGGCTGTCCATGCCTGCTCTTGGCTTCATTCCCCTGCCCTTCTTTATGCCCAACGTGCGGCATCAGTCTGGAAGCATCTGAAGCAGATGGGAATAAGGCCACAGGCCAGAGTGAGTGCCAGCAGGGCAAACAGGCGGCCAGGTCTTACGAGTTGGGCAGAGTCCCGTGTTTCCCATTCTCTCCAGTCTCCCACTCCCACGGCCACCCGGTGTACTCGCTTCTCTTCCCTTCCCGCCTCCCAGGCCCTCTCTCTCTTCCTAGGTGGAGTATCCCTACGGAGAGCTTATCGTCTCCCTGGGCTTCTTCTTTATCTTCTTCTTGGAGTCGCTGGCAGCGCAGTGCTGTCCTCAGGCCGCTGGGGGAAGCACGGCGCCGGAGGAGTGGGGCGGGACTCATGTCCTGGACCTCCACAGCCATGGACCCCCACCCTCACCCTCAAAGGGGCCCCTCCGGGCCCTCGTCCTCTTGCTGTCACTCTCCCTTCACTCAGTGTTTGAAGGGCTAGCCGTGGGGCTGCAGCCCACAGTAGCAGCTACCGTGCAGCTCTGCCTCGCTGTCCTGGCTCACAAGGGGCTCGTCGTGTTTGGGGTAGGACTGCGGCTGGTGCAGGCAGGCACTGGCTCACGATGGGCCACGTTGTCCATACTGTCGCTAGCTCTCATGTCCCCCACGGGCCTGGTCCTGGGGCTGGCTGTGACCCAGGGGGACCCTAAAGGGGGGCAGGGCCTAGCCCAGGTGGCGTTAGAAGGTGTGGCAGCCGGCACCTTTCTGTATGTCACCTTCCTGGAAATTCTGCCCCGGGAGCTAGCTGGCCCTGAGGCCCCTCTGGCCAAGTGGGGCTGCGTAGCCGCTGGTTTTGCCTTCATGGCCTTTATTGCCTTGTGGGCCTGAGAGATTGCTGGTTTTTCTGATGGACCTATCTAGGATGGCCTTCCTGCCCTCGGGAGACACTTTCCCGAATGGCTTTGGCCCTCCACTGAGACTAAGCGACATTCACTAGGCATCATCCTCATGAACTGGACCACAGCTTTCTCCTACATGAGAATCCATTTCTCCTCCAGGACTGAGAAAAGGACGTTTAGGTTGAGTGCCTATAAATTGAAGAATTGTTATGAAGACCATCACTCTAGATTTGACTCTTGTCTCATTTGTGCTCCTGTGTATAATAAAATGTCCATTTTACCCTTCCCCTTCAGCCATGCTACACTTCATTTCTCCAGGTTGCCCAGGAGCTGCCTGGTACAGGAAGTGGTGGGGTGGGGAGGGAAAGGCTGAATATTGGATATTGTATTTTCTTCTGGAATCCAGGCCCCTAGCCATTCTGTCAGTTGCAGGCCATGCCCTCCACAAATGGGAGCATTGCTGAAATTCCAACAAACTACTCCTGCCTTGCCCACAGGTGTTGAGAAACTGAACCAGAGTTCCCAGCATTTAGAGAGAAGAAGTGTAAAAACAGAAACCACGGGATCTAGATTTTTTCCTACAGTAACCACACCCACCCCACTCCCAGTACCTATTACCAGCCAACCACAGTGTGTCCAGCAGACTCTTGAGATCAGGCTAAAGAGAGCCTCCCTCCATCCGGTTCCTATTTTTCACACTGAGCCCTCTGTAGCCTCGAGGATGCTGTGGCTCTTTGAGCCTCTGTCTCCATCCAGCTGCCTTGTGCTGAGGGATTAAGAAGCAGTGTGTTTGGAGAGGGAGAAAGGCGCCAGCTAAATGCCTAGGGTGATTACTGGGCTCTGGCACAGCTCGCTGGCTTTCGCTCTGCCCGCTCTATAGCTGCCCCTCTGCCTCCAGCCCCTCCCCACTAGGCCCTCTGTCTTTCAGTGTGAGTAACCCCCACAATGGTTGCTTCTCTTAAACACTACTAAGGACAAATACAAAGCTGATCATCTGGCTGTTGCGCAGCCCCCTGACCCATGAAATGGAGGAGTAGCTCAGACTTAGTGGAGAAGCAGGGAGAGAGAAGGTGCGCCCCAGGAGCTCCATCACTCTCCCCACTTTGCCCCTTCTGGTCTTCTCAGTGCGGCAGCCCAAGTCACCTTCACATGGACAAGGTCTCCTGAGTGTCCCTCTTGTCACAGTTGTCTCCTGTCCATCCCGTTCCCCTCCCCACAAACTAAGAGACGCAGATCTCCTCACAAGCCCAGCCAACGCACCCGGGCGTGAGTGAGAAGGCAAGCTTTAGGCAAAACTAAATCAAAATATCTGATACGGGAAACAAGTTCCCTGAAGCACCATCCTCTTCTGTTTTCCCTTCAGCATGAAGTAATGGAATACATTCTCCAAATGGTGCCTCGTATGTCTTAATCATAGCAGAGTCTCCAGGCGGAGCACCTGCTCTGTGCCAGGCACGGTGCTGCCGCCCTCACAGATACTACCTCGCTTCCCCGACCCTGCAACGTAGATGCTATCCCCGCCGTGAGTCATGCGGAGGAGGCGAATAACTAGATCACATAGCTAGCTGGGCCTCAAACTCATGTTTCTCTGATTTTAAGAAAAGCTCAAATACACAGATTCTCTCCTCCCTTATCTTACCTTTACCTCCCCATCTTATGAGTCAGGGGCTCAGAAGAAGCGGGGAGCACATTGGAGAACTGAGGCAAGTTGAATAAAGAGAGTCTATAGGGAGGTGTGGGCAGGGTTTTGGCAGAGCTACGGCCGGTGGCGCAATCCCCGGGGGCTGAGCAACAACAATGCTGGGTCGGAGGTGCTGCTGCGAGGTGCTGCGACACGCCAGCCAGCTGGGGGAACAATGAGCAGGAACAATGCTGCTACCCGGGCTGAAGAGCAGGGAGCAGGGAGCAGAAACTAGAGAGGGCCGCCCAGTAAGAGCTGTGGCCTTGGGTGCAGGGATACAACCAGCCCGCTGGGACTCGACCAGAAGGAAGCCAGAGGATTACGCTCCTTCTCCTTCTGCTCTGTCCTCTACCACTGGTGTCTCCTGTTGGTCATGCTAACTGAAGCCAAAGGACAAAAACGTCTGATGGTGCGTGGCAGATAGGTCAGCCTCGTGAGGCACCTCAAGAAATCCAGAGGGGCGAATCCAGCCTGCCATCCCCTCCCTGCTGCTTTCCGTCAGGACTTTGAAAGGGTGAACTGGAGGGGGCACAATTATACGGACATTGGCTATTTCCGGTACAGAGGATTGGTAGGACTACAGAAAGGAGACTTGAGGAGAAGGACATCAGACTCTGGGGCTCTTCATATGTTTCTGGGTCACCAATGCTATCAGCACCTGAGGGGAATGAGCAGAGGTCAGAAGACTGCAAGCATGGGTGAGTCATGCACTTTTTGCCTCCTCCCATCCCGGGAGCACTTACATTGGCCTTCAGCCACCTCTGCTTTCAGCCATCAGTGCTTTCTCTCCTTCCCATGAGCAAGCACTTCCTTTCCTTTTCCCAGCACCTTACCAACCCCAGCAGGAACCATCTGTAGTTCAAACCATTTCGTAGCAAGAGATGCAGTAAAGCTAGAGAATGGCTCCTTAGAACATCAGGATCAGGGCGCCCGGGTGGCTCAGTCGGTGAAGCGTCTGCCTTTGGCTCGGGTCATGATCCCAGCGTCCTGGGGTCGGGCTCCGTGCTCAGCGGGGAGCCCGCTTCTCCCTCTCCCACTGCCCCCCCCACCTGCTCATGCTCTCTCTCTCTCTCTCTCTCTCAAATAAATACAATACAATAAAATAAAAAACACATCAGAGTCAGAAAAAGGAACTATCGGAGCATTTTCCAAAGCTCTGAATCCCCAGCCAGGAGTCGGAGAGGGCTGTAAGGGAGCAGACGAATGTGACTTCAAGTGAGCCTGCAGCGAGGAAGGATAGAATTAGGACAGGCAGGAGAGCCATGGACAGGAGGGAGAGCTAAGGTAGCTGGGCCATGGCAACTGGAAGCCAGAGTCAGGAGCGAACCTTTACTCGCTCAGCCTTGAGAGATAGGTTGTAAATGAAAACATTTAGAATCATGAGAGCTGAAAAAAATATGAGGAAAGACGCAGGTTAGGAAAAAGGATAAGAGAAGAAGCTATTTGGAATAGTCACAAGAGAATTTATGTGGAGCAGTTTTCAAGTCTCCCTGAACCCCTGTGCCCTTTCCCCATCCCTTATTCTCCACCCCCACACATGTATTTTTTATATATTTAAATAGAAAAAAAAAAACAAACAGAAGAATGAGATCTCCAACTGCCCTCTCACCTAGAACCAGCTTTCCATTCTTGCACCAATAAATGGTTCCCTGCAGTAAACCTTTGGAACTCCCCCACCTTCCTTTGTATACAAGCGCAGGCTTGGGTTTTTGTAGTTGAGAGGAGACGGGGCACAGCATCAAAGAGAATAGAGGTTAGTGAGTATCCTGGGGCAGGGTGGGAGGTCAGCCAAAGACCAGCACCTACAAACAAGAGGCACCCAGGAACAAAACCACAGAGATCCAGGCTAGCTCTTGTGAGACAGTTCGCCCACTTCACCCCTCCCCGGAAGGACAGTTTTCCAGTATCTTGCCTCCCTCATAGGAAACAGTGCCCTGGCGCCTGGCTTTGGGTGATGGAGTACAAAGAACAGTTGCCAGAATTGGAGTGGGTTGGTATGTGTGAGTGCAAGTGAGCCAGCTGGCCAGACACCCCCATACCCCCGCCCCTGGCACCTCAGGGAGGAGCCTGTGGCCACTAGCAAAGCTGAAGCAAAAAGGGTGTAGACAGGGGCGACACCCTCAGGCCCCAGTCTGCGGGGATGCTTAGAGTCCAGTTGTTGATGATTTGCTTTTTATTTCAATTTTGTTCAGAATTACTATCTTTAGATGTATTGAATGTCAAATACAGAATGCATTCTACTTTTACTATGTATTTATCCAATAGGGGGGAAATTCTAATATGGGCGAGGAGAGAGGGTGCAAACAACCTAATTTCTCTGGGCACCATTTACGCTGACCACAGCCCTGGCCTCTAGTCAGAACTGATTCTCACTTTCCTGTTAGTCCCCAAATCTCTCTAGAAAGGTGGCGTCTCCCACTGTGACATTTCCCTTAAGTATGTAAAGGAGTGCCCTTAAAGGTTGACATCTATCCCTCCTGCTGCAGTTTCACTGTTTTGTGTGTACCTTCAGAGAATCACTCTTCAAAATCTCCTCATGAGTTCCGGAATTTTCAAACTGACCCCACCAGGCTCTCATCCCCATATTTGTGAACCCTGTCTTAGCTCTCTTGGGCTTCTGTCCCTGAAGTCAGGAAAACGATACATCTGAGAATGAGAGTAAGAGAGAAACAGGAGTCCTAAGCCTGAAGCAGAGACAAAAAGTAGGGAGTTTGTGGTTCTGCTTCTCTGAAGTCCGCTCACCTCTCCTGAGCTCTGATCTTGAGAACAGGCAGGGGCCGCAGACCACTCCCTCCCTATGTAACTCCCACATAGAATCACAAAGAACACTGAGAGATACAGGAAGGGAAGTGGGACCTGGAGAAAGTTAGGAAGAACCATGCCAACCACAGGAGGGCACTGCATCCCCATGGGCTAGCCTGGAATGTCTGGGACCAACACTGTAAAGAGGTCAGTCAAGGACAGCAAACCCCCTCTGCCTTGCTCCCAGCAGAGAGCATCTCTCCCTCTTCCTAACTCTTGGGGTTCTTGTGCTGACACATCTATAAGAGACAGACACACAGTCACCACCCACTTCACACACCAGCTCCCGACAGATACACACACACACACTCACACGTGTACACAAATATCACTTCCTCCCTCTTCTGAAGATTACCTTGCCAACAGTGTTATCTGTGTAGGCAAATGTGCTTGAGAAGACCTGCCTTCCCTTCCATAATGCACAACAACACCTCTGTTTTTGTTTTTTTAAGTAGGCTCCACACCCAGCATGGGGCTCGAACTCGCAACCCCAAGATCAAAAGTCT